AGAAAGGCCCTAGGTTCAATCCTCAGTATGAAAAAAAGACAAAAGTCTTTTAAATTTTGTTTTGGTACCAAGAATTGAACTTAGGACCTTGAGCTTGCCAAGAAGGCACCTGTGCCATTAAGCTATATATCTCAGGCCCCAAAAGTCTTTTAATAATTATAAATTTACAAAATCATTTTCCAAGGGCCGACCAGATAGCTCAGGGGACTAAAGCACCTGTTTAGGCAAAGCACAGTGGTCAGGGTTCACTCCACAGCGGGCCAGGCCAGCCCTGCCTCCGGGGCACGCTGAGACTTTGATTGAGACTGGGCACAGTGGCACATGCCTGTAATCCCAGGGTTTGGGAGGTTAAAAACAGGAGAATCACTATAAGTCCAATCTACATAGTGAGACCCTGTAGACACTGTACTAAATAATTTTCTTAAAAAAGTAAAAAAAAATGATGAATACAGTTTGGTTGGAAAAAAACAATGAATAAGAGAAATACATTGTATATCCTCTTATCTCAGAAAAACGAAAGGGAAAATGCAAAGAAAACATCATTTTCCTTTTAGGAAGTAACAATATAATTTAGTGCTCTACAACTGTCATGTGCTAAGAATGATGCTCAAAAATACCCATGACCTCTTAAACGTGATACCTGAAAGAAGTACATACGAGCTGAATGTGGCAGCACAGACCTATTATAATCCCAGTGCTCTGGGAGGCTGAGGCAGGAGGATAGGAACTTGGAACACAGCCTGGGCAATTAGCAAATTAACAAGACCCTGTCTCAAAATAAAAGAAGGGCTGGAGACATAGGTCAATGTGAAGGCCTCTGGTTTGATTTCCAGTACCAAAAAAAAATATTATATACGAGATTGAACATTTTAACCCCTGCCAAAACAGCCAAGTTTGTAGTAGAAGCAGCCAAAATTCCAGTATTTCATTGCTAGGACCTCAGAAAAGTAATTTAAATTGTTAGACAGAAAGAATACACAATACTTTATAGACAGATGACTGAACACTTATAATTGTAATTTTGTTTTACTTTTCGATTCTTTTGAAGCTAACAATACACAGTATACTAACTCTTGGTATTCTCTTATTATTCTTTATGAAACTTGACTTTTTGAGGGTGGCAACAACTGAGTACTTTCAGGTGTCTGAATCACAGAGATTATGAAATAGCTGTCAACATTCCTTCTCGTACAAAGCAAATAATCAGTAAAAGGAGAGAGCATGGGAGAATTCATCCAATAAGTGAATAAACATGGTCTAAGAATTGTAAATATATAATAGTTAATTGCTTAGATGCCTCCTCTGCGCATCTCACTTGATTATAGAACTGTGACTGTGTGCTTTTTTAGCAGGGTATTTTTGTATGACCACACTGGCAAGGGAACGCAGGCCTTGGACTGGACTTCCATGCGTGACAGCTTACCCACAGCATTGTAGAGAGGCTCTCCAGTCAACTTGTCCCAGACCACAGTGGTTTCCCTCTGGTTGCTGACACCGATAGCTTTAAAGAGAATGATAAACAGAAGGGAGGAGCAAATTAACTACAGTAGCACTTCAGGCAAAATAGCTCTCATCTTTTATTATTGGCACAACCAAGCATAATAGTTTAAAAAATTAGAACAACAATAAACAACAACAACAACAAAAAAGAAATAGAACATCTGTAGTGGTATTGATTATCCAGAGTGGTCCTGGACAGAACTGAACATAAAATGTCAAGTTTTGCTTTTTACTTCTCCATACTCTTTCCACTTTACTACCAGCACAGTGACAGGGAGCCAGGTCAACATCCAAAGGAAAGGTTTCTAGGACGCCTTAAGGAATGCAACAACTTTCTAGGTTTATACTAACCAATTTCTTATTCTGAGCAGACCAACAATCACCTCATTTATCTAACAACTGCTAGAAGAAATTTCCCTTCCCACATGTTTGTGTATATGCCTACATTTTTTTTTGGTGGAACCAGGGATTGAACTCAGGCCCTTGTGCTTGCCAGGGAAGCACTTATTCCACTGAGCCATATCCCTGGCCCCATGCCTACATTTTTAAGAAAATAACCACAGACAAAAATCCTTCATGCTGAGAAATTTTATATTACGAGGTTAAGAATTCAGCTTTATTATATTTTAATAACATGTCTTCAGTGCAGTTGCTTAGTTCACAGGTATCAGCATATATAGTTTAGTCAGGGTGAGAATCCTACCAATTAACTGCTAGTTTTAAAAACCTGCTGAACATTCTCAGGATCATTGCCTTCAACATCTTGTGCATATAAATGTATGGTTTTGCCCCTGTCATGTTTCCTAGCTTTCCTCCTTGCCCTCTCTTCGTTGTGTAATCCTTCAGTTCTTGCTTTCCTTTTAATTGCATTATACCTTTCTATTTTTATTTCTTTTGAGTTCTTACACTAGGGAAACTATACAATATTTACACGTGTGTCTGGTTTATTTCACTTATGAGTATATCTTCAAGTGGCATTCAATTCAACATAAAGGGTTCGAGTGTATCATTCTTTATAGCTGAGTAATACTCCATTGTGTAAAAATATCACATCTTTTTCAACCATTCCTCAGGTGATGGGCATCTTGGTTGTTTCCAAGAAATGGCTATCACAAATTGTGCTGCTATAAACACAGGTGCACATATATCACTATGATATGTTTTCAGTTCTTCTGGGAAAATTCCCAGTAGGGGGATAGCTGGTTTGAATGGGATTTCCAGTCCTAGTTTTTTAAGGAGTCTCCACACTGATTTCCATAATGGTCTACTGTAACATCCTGTAACTCAGTGATGTCACAAATTTTCTAAACAAGGAGATTATGGGGCCACAGAGGAAAGAGATCGATGATGTAGAGTGTGTATAAGGAGTCACATGGAGAGAAGACATTGCCTCAGGCTTTCACAGAGAGCACATTGGCCACGCAATGGCTGTGACTCATCCACATGGCTGACATTGACAAAGGGTCTACAAACTGCGGTACAGGGTTTCAGGGTGAATCCTGAGGGAATCTGACTGACCTTGTCACATACAAGTTACATTTCTCGTTATACAGGTCTTGCTCATCTTGGTCTTACCCATCCAGCAGAAAAGTATAAAAACGAGGAATAAAAAGTAAAGCCCTATTAATATGCTGAGCTGTAAAAGGCTCAAGTCAACAACTTCTGACATTGCCAGTCCTATAGATAACCCACTACTATTATGGACTACTGGACTATATTGGATTATTTTGCTGAATTCAGGCACCTACAATTTTTTTTCTGTGTGTGGAACTGGGGATTGAACTCAGGCCCTTGTGCTTGCCTGGGAAGCATTTATTCTACTGAGCCATCTCCCTGGTCCCAACCTACAATATTTAAATGGCAATGGAACATTCATCTCTGACAAAACTAAACAAAAAAAGGGGATATAAATATAGGACTATTTTTTATCTGTATATACAAAATAGGATAGATATACAGCTACTTTCTCTTAATTCAATGAGAAGAAAGATTTGTACTAATAGTGTTTGGGCAGGATATCATAGCTGCATCTTGTACTATGAAGAACCACTAAGACAACAATATGCAATGTATTCATTATTGAATCTGTCCTACTAATCGATTTTGAAACTGTCTCACTGCTATTTCTTTCTCAATAAAAGTAATAAAAAATATGTCATAACATAACATTTTGAATCAGGTATAAATATGTAATGACATTTAAAGTGACTTAGGTATTTAAATGTATAGTTATTATAAATAAATTAAAGCATACTGTTTAAATTAGATCAGTTTTGAATCAGTGAGATTTTTAGAATGAACTGGGAGCTCCTAAAAATGCCTAACCTTTGGTGAAAACCAATGTCTAACCTTTGGTTAAAACAATTCAACTTAAAATATTAAAAAAAAATTATGTGACCTGGAATGGATCTGTGCATTGGTATTTATTCCTAAAACTCCCAAGGTGATTTTAGTGTGTATCCTGGGTCGAACACACTAGGCTAAAGGATTGAGCTCTTCTAGAATTTAAGATTAGGATAGACCTTAAAGCCTATGTAAGCAACAACATGTTTTATCTTTCAAACTCTTCTAGACCTATCTGCAATGTTACCACCCAGAAAACACTTCCAGTAATAAGATGTTCACTTTCCCATTTCTGGCAGACCAAAGTCTACTGGACAATTTTAGTATTTAAAAAGTCCATGGGCTGTGAGTGGACTCTTATAATACAATTTTAGCCTAGTGGGTCCTGGGGTTTCATCTACAGCACTGCAAAAAAATTATTTTTCCTTGTAACTTCCAGCTACAAATCTTAGCTATATTCTTCAGAGATATAAAACATATGGTCAGTCTTGCCTACACGTGCCAATCTTTCTAAAACCCAAAGCAGCAATTTTGTTCAAGTTTTCCCTTCCACTGTCTTAGCTAAACTATGTGATTCCTTTCAACTGCCTCTGCTTCCATATGGCATGATTTAAATAAAGACTCTATCACAGCTTCTAGAATATGCCATTATCATTCATATCATTTCAACTATACACCTAGAACAAAATACAATACGCTAGCAATGTTCTGAGCAACACAAAACTGAGGATAGCCATGAGCTCCTTTGTTCTAATACCATCCATCCAATGCAGATACTCACTTTGACAATGATACAAAGATGACTGAAATTCTCCTCCAAGAAACAAGAGGTACTAAATAAAGAGAAGAGAGGCCAGGGAGATAGCTCAGTAGAATAAACTCTAGCCTGGCAAGTGTGAGGTCCTGAGTTCAATCCCCAGTACCGCAAAAAAAAGAAACAAAGAAAGTCTAGGTTATTTATAAACTAACACAAAATTGGGCACAGAAAGAAATAAAAGAGCCAGGCATGGTAGTGCATGCCTGTAATTTTATCACTCGGGAGGCTGAGGCAGGAAGATTTTTGCAAGTTCGAGACCAGCCTGAATGGCATAGTGAGATCCTACATCAAAAAGAATATAAATCAATCAATCAATCAATCAAGTGAAGGGTGGGGCTAGAAATCAATGGGACATGCTCCTATTGTGTAGTGACATGAGGTAAAGAGATCAGCAGCAGAGGTGGAAGGAGAAGCCCCCCACAACCAAGAAAGGCAGATTGTTGTTTCCCTTGTGACCAAAAAAAGAGCAGAGGTTCACGACAGGAAGTGAAGGCATTAAGGTCCCAAAACCTCTGCTTTCCCATGAAGTACTACTAGGCAAGGCTATTTGCTAAAATAGGACCATGCAAAAGTAAGATGGAGAGTTTGGGGAAGAAGCCAGCACAGTAGCACACTTTGCAATCTAGGAGGATAACAAGTTCAAGGCCAGTCTGAGCAACTTAGACAGAACCTGTCTCAAAAGAAAGGGGATGGAGCCTGGGGAGATAGAATAAGTGCTTGCCTGGCAAGTGCAGGGTCCTGAGTTCAATCCCCAGTACCACCAAAAAAGAAAAAAGAAAAGGAAAAGAAAAACAAGAAAGGGGAGGAAATGGGGAATTAGCACTTAGACTCTGAAGCCAGACAGTCAGGATTCAAACTCCAATTATGATTCTATCTTGTTCTATCTCCTACAAAATGGAGAGAATACATGTTCCCATCTACTGGGTTACAGCGATGAGTATTAAAACACGTGCCTGGCAGATAGGAAGTACTTACTACATGCTACCTACTGCTACTGCCATTATAATTTTGCTGTCATAGTTGAGGTACAAGAAATTGAACCCAGGTCCTTCATGCTGGCCAGCATCCCAAGCCCTTTTTTGTTCTGAGACAGGGCCTTGCTAAGTTACTACATTGCCCAGGCTGGGCTCTAACTTAAGGTCCTTCTGTCTAGGCCTCCCAGCCTCCCAAGAGTGCTGAGATTACGGGCATTAACCACCATACCCAGCTTGTCACTTTTATTCATTTTTCCCCATAATTTTATTGAGAAACAAATAGCAATGAGACAGTTTCAAACCAAACTGGTAGGATAGTTTCAATAATTAACACATTGCATGCATTCTTCCTAGCAGTTATTTGCTGTACAAGATGCTGACATGATACCCTATTTACAAACACCATTAGAACAAATCTCTCTATTCATTAAGACAATGTAACTATATATCTATCCTAACCATTTTGAATACACAGATACAAAATGGACATTCACCTGTATCCCTTTTTGTTTAGTTCTGTTATTTGAATATTATAGGTGTGTGAACTAAGCAAAATATTCTAAAAGAGTCCAGTAGCCCATAATTGTATTGGGTCTTTCACTTCACTGCAATGTCAGAAATTGTTGACCTGAGTCCCCTATAGCTCAACATATTTCACTGACCTTATCAGACCCAAAAGCTACAACTCTTGTTGCGCAGGTCTTGCTTTATCTTGGTCTTAACCATCCAGCAGAAAAGCATAAAAACAAAGTACAACAAGTAAAGCCATGTTGTCACTTTTATTATTGTGCGGTGTGAAGTACCAGTTGCAGAGAATGGGATTAAGCTGAGCAAGACACAGAAAGTAACTCAGTAATGGGTTCCTAC